AAATTCCGGAGCATGTCTTCACCTGATATTTGGTAAATGGATAAGAATTTCTTGACTCCGAGCCTTGTCAAAGTTTTATGAATTGGCATCTCCAAGGCTTCACTAACTTGTCTGGAGAGAGAATTGCTCGCCTGGTGGATCGAGGATCCGAGACGAGTGGCAGAAAATTTCAATGCTTCTTCTAGAATTTCCTCCCCGTGTACTCCAAAGTGTGCAGCCTCGTACAAGCTTAACAGCCCTGGTACATCGCTAATCAAAGAATCCTCAAATTTTCCTTGGCTGTCCTTGAATTTGTTGAACACATCTGCCTCAGCCCGAAAAAATATGAAATGTAACCTTAAATGTGTAAGGTGCAATAAACTTTTCATGTAACATATTCATGTTTGGTCATGGTAAAGAAAAGTTAATTTTGTTAGTAATAAAGTAGAATTAAAAATAATAACTAACTAAAAAGTATATTCGACTTGCTTTGAAGTTTAAGAGAACATAATTTATTGCATGTGTATATATAAGATATTGACAATTTAATTTCTCAACATATAACAAATCATGAAAATAAAAATTACTTACCACATGAGACACAATATCCTCGTTGTCTGAGTAATCGAAATCGAAGAGCAACAGTACGAAGATCATTGTTTTGTTTATTGGGACTTTCATGATAAGTTTCATACATGTATTTTAAAGATTTTTCAATTTCTTTTTCAAAATGGTAACCAACTCCAAGACGTTGGATTGCATCGATGAGGTCTAGTTTATACAATGAATCATCTGGGGCAGCCACTAGCAACTTTTTCACTTCTTCTTTTAATCTTTGATGTTCTTGCTCTTCGTGGGCCAATATATCCTGGTCAAGTAAGAGGAAACATGCATTTAACATTTTAACACAATTATATTTCAGTTAAATAATGAGGAACAAAAGGTCTAGCTAATTTACATTAGAAGAATACGCAAGGAAATAATCTCCCCAAATGCTAGGATGATATTTGACAGAGCGGCGAGTATCCTGAATGCTCATATTTTTGGTGGAAAATGGAGCAGCAGATGCATGGATTTGGATATCCATTAATTCTATATTTGACACTTGAAATAAATCAAGGAAATGCTTCTCACTTCAATGGGATTGTATGAATTTACGAGCTTGTTTGATGGGTATTTATAGTCCTATGACACGGAAAGTTCGGACCACATCAGGAATATCTAGGCCAAGAAAATTTAAATCATGAGACCGAGATAGAAATCCGTGAAGGATAAAATGAGTTCAAACTCTTCCAGAGCGGACAACATATAAGTTAACGACTTAGGCACATAGGTTAGGTCGATACAATAAATCGGCATTTTTGTAAGGATCTAGGTCTCGTATCCAAACCGTTATATCATAAGTACGGTCCGTTTTGAGAGAGTTTGAGTCCATCTTCCTCCTCAAGAATTTTTATTGCGTCCCCTTGATTTGAACCCTTGACCTTTCAACTTAAGTAAGAGAGCGGATAATACATATGATATAACGAATTAGGCACGAAGTCCGAGTCGTTACATATTGGGTATTCATACCTATATTAGTTTTCTCTAATATCCCTTCAATCAGAAGGATTTATTGAAGGGAAAAAATTTACTCTTTCCCTTCATAACAACATGGTAAGTGTAATGGCAGGTGGACATAAGTCTCTTGAAACTAGTGTAGGCTTTGCTTATTTTAGTCTTGAAATTTTGGGGATGAGGCATAATCAATAACACTTCTAAGGTTTTGACATTAAAATGTTGTTGAAAACTTAATTTAGTTAAATAAATGAGACTCGTTTTAAATAACTTAATCTTTTAGATTTGATAGTTCAATATAATATCAAAGGATGCAAAGGGTGCTGAGTTCAATTGTCATTGTTACCCACTTATTTTATTTTTTAATCAAAACACCATTAAAGAATAGACACTATTTCTAGGCCTCCACCAAAACTCAATGGGAATTTGGATTCTTTGACCGTGTCTTATAAATAAATAAATGAAGTAAAAGAGGGGTTGGAGGCGTGTTTGCCTTATCTTTGAAACTTACAACGAGAAAAGAAAAGAAGATTTTGAAAGTGCTAAACATAGAAATAGTACTTCCACTACATTTTACTTCAAGGACACAAAAACTTTCTACTAATTCGAGGAAAATATAAGTAGAAATAAATAAATATTTTAGCGATATCAACACAAAAGAATGAGCTGCACAGGAGAATACGCAGTTTTATTCTGTAATTTCATTTGAGAAAAGTGAAAATTCATTGAGGATCCCATAAGTATCATAGGGAAGTCATAGTGCATATTTTGTTGCATATGACAAAATATTTCCTGCCCAGGTGTTTTAAAGCTTAAAACATTTTAATATGCATGACACAATTTATATTTTAGTACAATGTGCATTTTTTTTTTCCTTCAGTATCCCCACAAATAAACTGAAGCATTCAGGTAGATGGACCACCAGTACCACTGTGCAACAAAAACACTGCAAAATGACAATTTATTTGCTTCCTATTATCCAAAAGACAAAGCTCAATTGTGTGCACGTTTTAAATTTGAAGACTATAAAGATATGTAGGCCTGGAAAGTCTTGACCACACATCAGTTATCTGCTTTTCACTAGCTAAAAACAATTGATAAAAAATTGCAATAATTGAGAATTATAAATTTTAATTTATATCGCCGAGAGAAATAAAATTGCAGAAAGAAAATAGACACACAAGTATACACAAAATTTATATAGGTCCATCTCAATGTGAGATTACATCATTTTCTATCGATAATTCACTTTAATGATCAAAAGAAGTTTACAAAAGAAAAATCACATACCCTATTTTCTTTAATATCTTTCTTTTGATGACGATTACAAAACCCTAATGATGACTCCTTATTTTTATTAGAAAAATTAGAATAAAATCGAAATTACAAATATACATTTCTAAATCATCATTAAGTAAAATTTTGGTCCAGAAGCTCTACCCAGACACCCTAGGAAAGGGCTTCGAGCCCCTTTCTAACCCGTCACTGACCTTGCCATGAAGGTGGATCCTCATGCCGACTCCGTACAAGGATATTTTATTGCATACTAGTTGAATCTGACATTCAAATTGCAAAATTGACAAGAATCCCTTTAGTTGGATTTGAAATGTAGAATTTACGAGTTTCTAACCTACTAATCAAAACAAAATTAATATACTACGTATTGAATTATAAATTATCACAAATAAAAGACTAAGCCAATAAAGGGGAATCAAATCAACAATATGCAAAAAAAACCGTGTGTTGTGAAAAGCTCTTTTTATTTATTTATTATTATTTTGTAGTAACTAATTAAGTACCCAAAATGCACGCTATGGGACTAATTCTAATGGAGCATATGAATTGAGCAGGTGGGTTCAAATTATTGGGAAAGTGAGAAGAAAATCCCACGTTAATTAAGTATGAGATAGTATATGGGCTTATAACATTTAGGGATTGAACTTCAGTTTATTCTAAAAATTATTCATTCTTATAATGATATGATTACTATAATAAACGAGGTTCGACCCAATAAACACCTAGAGGGGATGAATAGGTGTTATATGCGAAATTCAAAATTAACCAATAATAACTTACAACAAGTCACAAATTATTAGTTCTAGATGAATTTAGATCAATTTAAACCATATCAATCAATCAAGCATAGATATCGAAGCAGTAAAATAAAAAATACCGATAAATTGTTTACGAAGGAAAAATCTTGAAGAACTTTTCAAAAGAAAAAAAACTTCGAGGCACACGTGCTAATAAATAATTCACTAGAAAATATTGAACTTATAACATTGGTCCATACACAACTAAATCTTAGTAAACTCTAACCCTAACATGTAATCACCGAAGAACTCCTCGATTGCGTGCTCAAGCACCAACTCCAAAACCTTTGGACTTCTTTTCTCCAAGTGAATCACCAAGAACGAACTTGTTCTTCACAAACCAGAGCTCCGATAAACTCCCTGAAAGGGATTTGTTAGAGGTTTATTGGTGTTTTTGATCTTGTGGTTGGGGTAAGAGAAATATAGAATCAATGTTTGATCTTCAACGGGATGTTCTCTTTAATGAATAATGGCTCAACACCCTTTTGGGATGAAATTTTGGTCCGATATATATAGTATTAGATAGTTATGGGTTGTTTGGGATTGAAAAAGGGGTAGAAAATCGCGAACTAGGCTTTGCCCGTATGACACGACCGCTTGATAACGACGTCCAGCGGGAGGTCAAGTCCTGCTAAAACTGCTTGAGCAACTCACTTGGCAGTCTTCGAGCGTTTTTTTTTTTTTTTTTTGCCTTGACTTGATTTTCTTAAGCTGATTTTGATATTTTCCAAAAACACTCACAACACCAGACAATTAAATCCTAAATACAACTCGATAAAATGCTTTTTTTTTTTGGGCACGAAATTTTGCCAATACATTTTAGATCTACCAAACTCCACATTTGAAATTTCATGAGAAAATTATTTATTTCATGATTAAACGATGTACACTACCTAATACATATGAACTCAATGGCTCAAAACCAAAATTGCATCTCAATTGCTTTGTAATACCTATTTCCTGAAACAAATCGATTTAAACAATATCAAGTGTAAAAGTACGTTGAAACTAATAAAATTAACATGCAACAATCGAGATAGAATCCATCAAAATATTATATCAATATACTTGACATATACCCAGCTAGCAACATCGAAATATGATATCAACATTATACAAAATACCATCAATATACTACAAACCATCATGATCAACTATTTGCTAGCCAAATATCAAAATAAATACTACTACTCTACTACTCTTCCCTAAATCAATACTACTCTCCATTTTTGTCATGAATAACAAAAGGGTACCAACAACCTAATTTTAATCGCCGTCAGTAATTGTCTCTATGTCAGATCCCTGCTCTAATTACTGTCGAATCCACTGAACATCTGCTGAGTGCCAATCGGAAATGGATCAAAGTGATGTAATAACGGCCATCATATGAGCCTGCTGCTCAATAATCAGGGATAACTAACCCATGATTGCAACTGAAAAGTTAACAGGTTCCTGAGAAGATGATGGAATGTCATCTGGAATAAGAGTAGAGGGTGGAGCATAAGACTGACTTTGAGCTATAGTGAGCTCGCTGGCCAATAGGCGGTTCCAACTGCTAAGGAGCCTCAGAAAAATTGACCTCAAAACCCGACACTGGGCACTATATCAGATATCCGTATGGTAAACCCTTCTTTTTATGGCTTTGGCTAAAAACCCCCTGTATAATGAAAGAACACTACAACAAAAATTGTCTTTCGAAACGCTCAAAAAACGTTGAGAAAGACCTTTTGCAACGTTTGTGCGTATGTTGCGGGCTTCAGTGTTGCCGTAGAATAAAACGATACGGCAAAGTTTATACACCATTGCAAAATGCCAAATCCAAACGCTACCATTTAGTTTTTGAACGTTGCGGAAAGTCATTTGCAACGTTTTGTTAAACGTTGTTGAAACTTTTCTTTCGCAATGTTTCAAAAATGTTGTTATTAATATTTTTGCCACGGTTTTGGAACGTTGCCTATAATGTATTTGCAAAATTTTTTGAACGTTGTCGTAACGTATTAGTAACGTTTTTTGAATGTTGCAAAAACTTTTGTGATGAACTTTTTGCAACGTTTTTTAAATGTTATCGTTCGTCTTTTGCAACATTTTATGAATGTTGTCTTAACCTAGTAAATTGTGTTCACCTTTTCACAATATTTGTTTAATGTTGTCATTTCTTTTATCCTTAGTTTTTGCAACATTTTACAAATGCTGCCTAATGTCGTTTTTTTTTTATTGTCATTTTTATATCTTTATATTAACCAATATATTTAAATACATTTTATAGTAAAATACGCAAATTAAACAATATAATTAAAGACTTTTTGATTGTGCATCAAATTGAAATTAAAATTTCATTTCGTATTTCGAGATATGCCTTTTGTAGAGCCATAAAATTTTATTTACGAACTACGTGGATAAAGCAATTCATACAATAAAGATTATACGGGCATTTGTT